AGATAGATAGATAGATAGATAGATAGATAGATAGATAGATAGATAGACAGACAGACAGACAGACAGACAGACAGACAGACAGACAGACAGACAGACAGACAGGATATATAGATACGATGGCTAGACAGATGATAGACAGACCGACAGATAGATAGGTATGGATGATATGGATAGATGGAGATAGATGGATATAGAGATAGATATTGATGATGATAGATAGATGGATGGATGGACAGACATGGATAGATGGATGGATAATGGATACATATTAATATAGACTTGAATCTATCGCTATAAAAGCGAAATACCACTCACACATCATCACAAAATCTCCAGAACTGTAAAGCCTACAAACTTGAAATCTGGCACATATGTTCCTCTTGGCTTCTAGGTGCTCACTAAGAAAGGATTTTTCGAAATCACCATCAGAGCTATTAGTATTTCGTATATTATTATTAACACGCTCTGATGCTAAAGAGTTCTACTCCTGCTCCCCACCTGAAAAGAAATCTCTTCAAAATGCAAAACACAAGCAGAAGAGTTTCAGTTTCAGTTTCCCAGCACCAAGCAGTTTTAGTACAGAACAGTTGAACTGACAGTTGAGTCACGCCCAGGCTCCTTGCTGTCTCTTTCTTGCTCACACAGCTAATAGGTTTCAGTTTCCACACAGCCCTCAACTCTCTCACACACTGACAGGACGCTAGCCAAATGAATACCGATAGATACTGGTAGGCAGAAGCAGAATTCCCCCCCCCCCCTTATTTTCCTCTCCAAAAATTAAGCCCGACCACATAGTTTCATAACAAAGCACGTTTATCGGGCTAGTATATTTACATAGACAGACATAAAATTAGCAGGAAGAATGAAGCCAAAAGAAAGTCCTGATGGGATGAAGCAGGCCCACCCCAGGCCTCACCATAGAGTGACTGCTGCCAGGCCAGAGCAGAACAGAGCAGCGCCAAGCTTTTTCCACTTCCAGTGGGACTCTCTAGCAGGCAGTGTTGCTTGGAGCTCAACCCCTTCACAATCTGTAAAGAAGGAAATGAATTTTGCCAGTACGGGGGAAAAAAAAGCGGCCGCCTATCTTTTGTTGGCTGCAAGATGGCAACTAAGAACACCTGAAGACCTGATTTACCTGTTGCTTTCAAACTGGTTCCCCGATTTGATTCACAGCAGAACCGAATTTGAAAAATAATGTAGATGGCTATCTGTTAGGGATAACATTGTTTACCCTAACTGGTTTGGGTAAAAAATAATAAATATGGTATCATGGTTTGTTAGTTAAAGTGTGTGTAACTTTAACTGCAAGAGTGTAATTAAGGGTGTGGTTGTAAAAGCACTATATAAGAAGCGAGGCAATTGCAGCTCGCTCTCTCTGGCTTACTGATCCCTAATTACTGGATGGATTGATGACTGCGTTCTTGCTGGAACGGGGAGAGAAAAAGGAGTGTTGATATTTCTCAACGGAGAGAAGATAAAGATTGGACTGATTTATTGTAAGTGTACTGACATTGGCTATTCAACACGGACTTTGCAAATAGAGTATCCCCGACAAGACTTGACTGAAATTGATATATGACTAATGGACCGTTATTTTGACTATGCTATAATTCTTAAATGGAATAAACTATATTTTTGATAGCACAAGCGTATCTGTATTTTTACTGCGTGTTAACTAAAAAACTTATCTCACACATTTACCTGTCTTCCTATCTGACTTCGCTGCACGTTCTGTTTAGTTTGTTTTCCTTAACACCTGTTGGGGAATCCAGGCTTAACACTATCTATTTGAAAGCATGGAATTTCGACAGCAAATGCAATTTCTACTCAGTGTGAAAGGTTGGATCCCGACTCCCCAATACTGTATTAAAAACTTTTCATTTCTGACTTAAATAGCCTTCAGAGTCCCAGGGTCACGTACTCATCATTTGCAACCTTCCCAGCCAGAGTCCAACCAATAAAATGAGGGAAGCCAGATCTGCTTAACAACCCGTTAACAATTGCAGTGATTCACTTAACAACTAGGGCAAAAAAAGGTCACAAAACAAGGCTAATAACTTTCACTATGATTTAAAAGTTTTGAACTGAATCTTGTTGCTTTCTTTTTTCTTTTCTTTTTTGAAAAACAAACACCAAGCACAGCTTTTAAAAGCTGAAAGACAGAAAAAGATCAGGGAAGCTGGAGAAAATCTTTTGTTTGCAACTGTAAAGCGGCGTTTCTCAATCTTGGCAATTTTAAGAAGGGTGGACTTCAATTCCCAGAATTCCCCATCCAGTATGGTGACTGGCTACATGCACCTAACAATTCTTGGAGTTGGAAGTTGCAAGGTTGAGAAACACTGTTGTAGAGTATAACCTTACAATCATCCTCATCTTCTTTTAACGACCCCATAATCCCTTGCGGGGTAGAGCCTGGGCAACTGAATGGGGCTGAGTGTTTACTGGCCAGATGCCCTTCCTGTTGGCAATGTGGAAGTTTTTTTCCAGCAGATATATTCTCGTTATGCCCAGAGAGAGAAATATCTGCCTCTACCTAGGATCAAACTCACAGCCTCCTGATTGCGAGGCGAGAGAGCTCCACCTCTAGGCCACTGCACAACCCAAGCATAATCTTACAATGACTGCTATAAAATAATTGCTTTTCAGACTTACTGCATTCATCATAGCAAGTTGCGATGGATAAGCCTTACAAGGGAAGAGAATTTTTACACCACCAATGGTGTATTCTGACGTTCGCGATGCCATAATTGCATTGAATTAGGACGTCCACCTTCAAGAAAAAAGAAGCAGAGTTTTAAATTATAAACTGTTGAGTTCCAATCCTGCCTCAGTCATGAAAGCCAGCTGGATGACTTTGGCCAATCACTAAGAACCTGTGTGTTCTAGTCATGCCTTAACTGGGTGACGTTGGGCCAGTTACTCTCTCTCGGCGCAACTCAGGTTTGTTGTTGTGAAAATAGGAGGAGGGGGAAGGTGTGTTGAATAAGTTCACCACCTTGAGTTATTTGTAAAAATAATAAAGAGGGATATAAACTAATCTAAAAAGAAAAGTCTTCAAAGAAAAAAACAAGAAAGTCCAGTTGCCTCCTGAAAAAGCACCTTTGGGACAAACATGACCCGAATGACTGAGAATCTCTACAGACTTTTAGCTATGCAATTTGGGATGAACACCCTTGGACTGGTGTGAGAATATGAATGGATTCCCAGAGGGATTGCAGACTTCAGAAACCATTAGGATTGCTCAGGTGACTCTGAGGACACAGACAAACCTTCAAGCGGCCTCAACGACTCTCCAAAAAGAATGCAAATGACCAGCTGTCTGCAAGGAACATAAATCCTTCCATTCCCCACCATCCAGAGAGCTGCAGAAGTTTCTTGGATGAGGAGCGAAACGTCTTCAAAGAAAAAAACAAGAAAATCCAGTTGCCTCCTGAAAAAACACACTTGGGACAACCATGACTCTACAGCCTTTTAAACCAATAAAAAGTTTCAACTGAGAATTTGAAAATCCCTAATAGAAGGAAGGCTAGATCAAATCTTTTCAAAAACTGTATGGTTATTTCTAAATAAATGTAATAAGTAAGTTTTAATTATCGGTCAGATCTTACATTTCTACATGATTAAAACAACATCAAAAAAACCTGTGGATGCAGTTGGATATGCATTGCAAAAAGGGACCCCAAGAACAGACTGCAAAGAGGTGCACAGGCCTTCATGTTTAAAATCATCTCTGGTTTTAGTTTAGGCATTAACCTCAGAAAGAAGTAGCGGTAGGTAAGATGAAAGCTGAATCGCTTAAGAACTGTTTCAACTTGGTCAAAAAACCTGCCAAGCAAAGCCAAAATGTTAGCAACCACCTCAAAACAATCCACATGGAAAATAAGCCCTACTCGGGATCATTTTAAAGAAATAAGTTGAGTGGAACTATACTCGGAAAGAGAGAGACAAATGTTCCATATATTGTATAGTTTGAGTTCAGTTGTGCAGTTGGCGCATTTGTGGAACCTGTCATGTTTTTGGATGGTTAGGGTTATTTTTTGTTTGTTTGTCCAGGCTGTTAATTTTCTTATTTTTATTTGTTCTGTTTTTATTTACTCAATTTTTATGGCCACCAATCTCAGAAAATGACTCTGAGTGGTAACCAATCTTAATGTCTAGGGCAGGGGTTCCCCCAATCTGTGGACTGGCACTGGGACATGGCATGCCAGCAACTGGGCCACGCAAACAAGTGAAGCCCCATCCGTGGGATGCAGGCAGCATGCAAAAACTCTCTGGTCCACAGAAAAACCTCTCCATGGAATCGGTCCCTGGTGCCCAAAAGTTTGTGAGCTACTGGTCTCTGGAGATTCTCAGTCATCCAGGTCATGGTTGTCCCAAAAGTGCTATTTCAAAAGGCAACTGGACTTTCAAAAGTCCAGTTGTCTTTTGGAAAAGCACTTGTGGGACGACCAATCTTAAGTTTTAATTATTTCGATTGTCTATTTGATATCTTGTAAGGTGTTTGGCATAGTTATTAATATTGTTGATCGCACACTCAGCCAGATATTTAAACTGCATTTGGCACTTTAATTCACCTATAGCGTCCTTCCCAAGGAATTGGGATAGGCAAATGATGTTTTTTGGTGATGTATAAAGATATCATTGCAGGATGTCAGCTGTTCCGAGTGAAGCTGCCTTTTGCAATTGACTGGTGGTGAATTTGTCAATGCCGATGGTGCTCAAAGGATGCTCCAAATGTTTTAGGGTTGCACCCAAGGTGCCTATTACTATTAATACTATCCTTGCTTTCTTTTGCAGCAGTTGTTCTATTTCTATTTGTGGGTCTTTGTATTTTGTTATCTTCTCCAGTTCTTTCTCTTCTCTTCGGCTGTCTCCAGGTACTGCCACATCCACTATCCAACATTTTTGTCTTTTATCGACAATTGTTAAGTCTGAGGTATTATATGGCAGGTGCCTGTCAGATTATATTCTAAAATCCCAGTCTTCATTTTCTATGATTTTTTCCATTTTATGATCCCACCAGTTGCTGCCTGGAAGCAAATGGTATTTCTTGTTCTTCCAATGCATCGTTGTTGCTACTTTGACATGCCGCTCCTTTTGTAGTCAGTCTGTGCAATCTCTTATCGTGGTTTGTTGCACTTTCAGCCAGATGTGTAGACAGGATTTGGCATTTTATTCATCTTTTATTTGCTTCATGTGCTGCAGCAGCAACCTGCTGACTTTTCAGCTGGCTGAGTTTGCTATCTGGATTTCGTAATCTAGTGACCATTCGTGTTGAACCTGGAATGCCTATTCCACTGTTTGGAGATTCACTTCTCTCACCATTAGATTTATTGCCTAGATCAGAGGTCTCATTCTCGCGGACCGCGGGCCAATTGCGGCCCGCAGGACGATATCCTGTGGCCCCCACCGTGATATGAAAGTATAACATTTGAGGATATTTTTTTAACAACGTTTTTTGTGGAATCCCTTATGCAGCCCAGCCTCAGCCTCCAGCGGCCCCCAGGTAAATTGAGTTTGAGACCCCTGGCCTAGATCCTTTGAGTTCTGAGAACCTCCTTCAGTGGTTTTCACTTCATCAGAATTCTTCACAGATTCGCTCTGCATAGAATTTGGTTCATTGCTACTGCTGTTTTCTGGGTCTGATAAAAGTGCTTCAGCAGATAAATCAATGTTCAGATTAGGAACTGTCTTAGCTGTTTCATCTGAAATATCCTTAAGATCTTCTGATGCCATGTTTTTGTCTGCCTTATTATCATCAGGAATTTCTGAATCGCATCCTACTGTATTCTTCTCTTCAGAAGCATCAGCCTCTTCTGCAGAAATATTTGTGATGCTGCTTCCAGGAAGTGATGGTACAGAATTGTTTTCACCACATGCATCTCCTGATTCTTCCTTTCCTCCTTTTTCAGAGCTTTCCTCTCCTACTATTTCCTTGTTGACCTCCATCTGTTGTTTTGAAAGTTCTTTTTCATTCTCAGTATCTGCGCACTCTTTATTATCAACCGTCGCTTTTTCTTCATCAGCAACTGAGCTTCTGTCCTCTAATAGTTCCCCTTTTCTGCCTCTGACTGCTTCCATAATTTCATTTGCTGCTGCAAGAAAAGACTGGTTGCTGCCCCGTGCTTTATTAGTAAGGTCTTCTGTTCTATCCATGAGCTGATAAATTTCTTCACGCATTTCTTCCAGAGTTTTGCAGATATCAGCTTCCCAGTAACCTTTGTCTAGGCATTCAGTTAATTCTGCCAGCTGTACTTTTGTGCTATAGTACCAGATTCTCTTATGCTTTTCACATTCTGAATCTTCCTCTACAACAATCCTGTATTTCCACCTGTTTCTATCATATCCAATAGGTTCATGTTGAATGTATGGTTTGTTTTTATATTCATCTTTTATTCGTAGGCAGATGTGGATATTTGATGGCATGAAAAGTATGATTACTACTAGTATTATATTGCACTCCATCTTTTTTAAAAAAGGAATTGATGCACCAGAGAAAGCAAACTTTACTTAAGGGATGGCGGATTCTTTCCAACACCCCTCCCCCACATGAAAATTATGACTTTTGACTCACTAAACGATAGAGGGGGCATTTTATTCCCCCCTCTCCTCCCACGCCCCACTTTTCGATCCTTCAAAAATCCTTTTATGGTGGAGAAACTGAAAGGCGCAAAAACGGACGTGGTTTAAAACAATTCCCCCCCTCCCTTAGGAATGGAAGAGTCGAAAGGCGCGATGCTCTCCCCACCCCGCCTGCCACCCGGTTTTTGGACTCGTCTAACGCGGAGGAGCCAATACGCGCCCCTCTTCTCAGCGCGCGCAAGAAGTTACCTCAGAATTCCAAGCGCTTTTTCGCTCTTTTTTCTCCGACTTCGAATCCTTCCTTCCCGCCTCGGCTGCGTCAGCCGCCCCCTTCCGGCTTTTTCTACCAATCAGTGGCGAGCTGGAAGCGCCAACGAAAGCGGCTCGCTAGCGCGGCTTCCGGTATCCTTCGGTTGCCTAGATACCTTACGGCCTCGCGGGCTTCGTTTCGGAAACAATCTAGTAGCCTCTTAAAGGGGCGGCGTGAATTCCGCCGGCTGATCCAAGAATTTGAGGAATTCACATTCAGTTGGCTGCGATGATGCAATACCATGAAGGAAAAGGGCCTTTCGAATTGGTAGGGGCCTTGGTCCCTTGACACCGACTCTCTGGCGCCTCATGATCTTTGAGCGAGCAAGATGGGCAGTGGGGATGATGGGAAGAGTGATGGCAGTGGTTTCTCAACTTCCAACAACTTTAAAACGTGTGGACTACAACTCCCAGAATTCCTCAGCCAGCCGTTTGAGATCGGTGGAATTCAACTCCCAGAATTCCCCAGCCACAGTTCTGCAAAACGTTCATTTATTCTACTGCCCTTGCTTGCTCTTCAATCCTGCCTCCCCCCCCAAAAAAAAAACAACAGCTTGTGGTTTCTGACTATCCTTATAATGTTCTGACCCAAACCTTGTTCCAAGGAAACAAACACAAAACAGAAGTAACAGCAAAACCTTTTAATGATTCTTTATGAATTTGTTCCTTCCCGGTCAAAAGGCTGTTTCTAACTAATTGTCTCTGTTAAGAACGAGCCTTGCCAAGGTGGTGCAAGGCTGCCACGAACACTAGATAAAGTTGCCAAGAAATAGTTCAAACTCAAAAGGTCTCCAAACACCAACCAAGATATTCCGAACATCCACAAGGCTTGAGTGCAAAAACTTCTTTGCTTCCTGCAAAAAACTCCAGTTTCTCAGCTGGCTTTTATCTCTTAATTACCTTGCAGCCTTACTCCCGACTCACCCGTGCTGCTGCAGCTGCTCTTTCCTTTGAGCAGCCCTGCGCACACATGAGCACTTGGCACAGGCTCCTTGAGGTCCTCTTCATCACTGCTACCAGCCTCCACAATCTCCGAAGGCATCATTCCACTCCCTGATGGTCCTGGCCCCATCCCTGCATCACACGCAGGCCCCTCATCTGAGTCCTCGCTCTCCGAGACCTCAGCCGTCTGCACCTGCTGCTGGCGAACCACAACAAATGTATTTTCTGCAGAGAAATCCAAGTTTTTGATTTACAACCATTCATTTATGATGGCACTGAAAAAAAGTGACTTTCAACCAGTCCTCACATTTACAGACAACTATGACAGCATATTCACAGTCCTGTGACCAAAATTGGGGTGCCTGGCAACTCGACTTAAACAGCTCATTTAGTGACCATTCAAAGTTACAAGGGCACTGAAAAAAAGTGGATTGATGACCATTTTTTCACACTTACAACCGTTGCAGCATTCCCATGGTTACATGATTTACATTCAGATGCTTGGCAACTGACTCACATTTATGACAATTAACGGTGTCCCAGGGTCATGCAATCATCTTTTGCGACCTTCTGACAAGCGAAGTCAATGGGGAAACCAGATTCACTTAACAACGCTGTTACTAATTTAAGAACTGCAATGATTGTGGCGAGAAGTCGTAAAATAGGGCAAAAGTCACTTAACCAACTTCTCACTTAGCAACCTACATTTTGGGCTCAATTGTTGTGGCCGTAAGTTGAGGACCACCTGTACTGAGAAGAGTGGGTGGCAGCATCCCAGATCATGTGATTGCCATTTGTGACCTTCTCAGCCAGCAAGCAAAATCGATGGGATCCCAAAGGTGCTTTGAGGACTTGTATCCTGCACGAGTCAAAAAGAGGGCTGTGAAAATATCTACAGACTCCTTACATCCTGCACGTAAACTGTTCCAACTCCTACCCTCAAAGTCGCCAACCTTTTGGACCTCAGGGACCACCAAACTCATAATTTTAAATCCTGCAGACTAGAGACTCTGGGAAAATCCCCCAAAAAGCCTGCAGGAAAATTCACCACCCCGTTTTCCTACCGATCGATCATTCTTTATTTGGGATCGCAGGATACCATCTCCAGCTCCGTTCTCGGGGGGGGG